TATGGAGGCAGTGACAGATTTTACTTTCTTGGGCTCCATGATCACTGCAGATGGTGACAGCAGCCACAAAATTAAAAGACACCTCCTTCTTGGGAGGAAAGCGATGACAAACCTAGACAGCATATTAAAAAGCAGAGATCTCACCTTGCTGACAAAAGTGTGCATAGTCAAAGCTATAGTTTTTCCAGTAGTGATGTATGGAAGTGAGAGCTGGACCATAAAGAAGGCTATCTGCCAAAGAATTCATGCTTTTGAATTGTGGTGCTGGAGGAGAATCTGGAGAGTTCCCTAGACTGCAAGGAGAACAAACCTATCCATTTCGAAGAAATTCAACCCTGAGTGCTCACTGGAAGGACAGATGCTGAAACTGAGGCTCCAATACTTTGGCCATCTCATGAGAAGAGAAGACTTCCTGGAAAAGCCCCTGATGTTGGGAAAGTGTGAGGGCAAGAGGAGAAGGGGACGACAGAGGACGAGACAGTTGGACAGTGTCTGCGAAGCAACCAACATGAATCTGACCCAACTCCGGGAGGCAGTGGAAGACAGGAGGGCCTGGTGTGCTCTGGTCCATGGGGTCACGAAGAGTCGGACACGACTTAACGACTAAACAACAACAACAATTGTAATTAATGTTTTCAAGACTGGCTGCAGATTATATAAGAGGTTTCTTAATATTTCTTCTCCACCGTAACTCTTCTGTGCTCTTTCCGCCACTTATTTATGGTCAGTGCTCATTGACCCACCTCCACAGCTGAAGTTCTGCACATTTTTTCCTCTTACATTATCTGAAAAAGTGATCCTGACCACCTGCTGTGAACAATGGGATATTTTTGTGCTCTCATAAGTGGGAAGAAAAAGTCGCAGCAGCCTGGAGGAGGCTGAAGGGACTGGCTTATCCTTTCCATAAGACAAAGAAGCTAAGAACATCTTATGAAGAAAACCTTAAAGGACTGTCGATTTAGCTAGATTTTGTTCATCAGACTTTACACCGTAGATATTCAGAGGCCTCACCCCACCATTCCCACTTTGTCAGTATCTTTCTTAAAATGTGGCATTTAGAAGTTGAACACTTCAAAAATGAAGTATTCATATTTTGTTGATCCAGGTTTGAACTGGATCAACAAACTTCAGTTGCACAGTGGGCAGCTTCTCTGCAGAGGCAACACAACCTCTGGCTTGAGAGCAACTGACACTAGTGACATAAATGAATTGGCACAGAAATCCCTTCAACAGGAACCTTAGAGTGGCTTCAGACGTAACCATTGAACTGATCAATGTAAGAGTTAAATTGCCATTAATATCTCACTGGTAGACTTTTAAGGGGATGTGTTACCCTTCAGTTTTCATTCGATTTACAACTTTCATCATCAAAGCTTTCACCATCCCCAGTCTGCAACATATCTGCTTTACCCCAGGGAACATTTATCCCTGCTCCTTCCACCTGCATGACAGTGCAGATTGAGGCATCAAGTATATTGGGTGGTTCTGATGGAAGGCATATCCCCAAACATCTGAGAGGGGACATTTTCCACTCCTGCTATAAATGCGTCCATGACTTAGGCATGATGCAAAAGTCGTGTGGGAGATCATTAGTTGCTTGGTAAGAAAATATGCCTGTGGGTCTGGGCGGAGGGAACATCATGGATTAATATATTGCGTGGATTAATCATAACTATTTTGGTGAACTTGCCATGCCTTACATCCTGTATCAAATATAGTAGCTCAAAAAAGGCCTTTTAAAAAACTCCCTGAGGGTTAGTGTCTTTCTTATCAGAGTGAGTCAACAGAATTCAGAAAATCTTCCCCAGGGAAAGATTTAAAAGGACAAGACTCTGTAAAGTATAGCTGCAGGCAAAGTGGTTCTTTATCCTGTAGGCTTCTGTTTCTGACCCTGCATTTTCTGATACTGTGCAATGTGGAAATGAGAAATGCAAGAGAAGTTACTTGCTTATGAGATGGATATATTACCTTTATGAATAGCCTTTTAATACTGATATCTAAAAACATGAGAGGATTCCTGCTAGATCAGGCCAAGGATTGAGCTAGCCCAGTCTTCAGGAAGTTCATAAGTGCACGAAGGCTATAATCCTCCTGGGTTGTGCATGGTAGGATTCTGCTACTCAGAACTTTATGACCTCTGAACATGAGACTCCGTGGCTAACAGTTGTGGATTTAGCTATTATGAAGAGACTTTTTAATAATACCAGCAGCACTGCACAAAGGGAACTCTCTCTCTCTCCGATCATGGCAACCAGTGCTGACTGATCCCCAGAGGTTCCCTTAGTTTGCAGTGCATCTGCTTTGCCCCTGGGGTCATCCGCCATAGCTCCTTCCAGTTGGGTGGAGGTGCAGATGGAGGGAACTGGCAAATTGGGGACTTGGGATTCCATTTGTGACAGTTCAAATGTTAACTGTCATAACAGCACCCAGGAGGAAGGGATTCTGAGGAGGAAGAAATGTGAAGTATGGTTGCAGTGCGGGTGCAGAAAAGAGTAAATGTAGCTTAAATTCACTAGACATTGGGCAACCACTGAAGAACTCTACATCACCTCATCACCGCACCCCCACCCCAATATCTTCCTCATACTTAGGACCTCATATGAGTCCCCTGTCTTTCATGACCAAGATGCTTTTTATTGTCTGAAATTCTGAAGTCCCAAAAAGTATGTCTATAAGTTTGCCGTATTAGTTGTTACACTTGCATAAAAGTAATATGTCTTCTCCTTCTCCTGCTCCTCCTGCTCCTCCTCCTTCATTAGGGAACTGATGCCAAGAACTCTTGATGGGCAGATCACTATGGAGAAAACTCCCAGCTACTTTGTCACCAAGGAGGCGCCGGCTCGTATCTCCGCCATGTCGAAGGACACCAAGCTCATTGTGGTGGTGAGAGACCCAGTCACCAGAGCCATTTCGGACTACACCCAAACTCTGTCCAAGAAGCCAGACATCCCCACCTTTGAGAGCCTGACCTTCAAAAACAGGACTACGGGCCTAATCGATACCTCCTGGAGTGCCATCCAGATTGGCATCTACGCCAAGCACCTGGAGAACTGGCTCCTCTATTTCCCCATTGGGCAGATCCTCTTTGTCAGCGGAGAGAGGCTCATCAGCGATCCCGCCGGGGAGCTGGGCCGAGTCCAGGACTTTCTGGGACTCAAGCGGATCATCACCGACAAACATTTCTACTTCAACAAGACCAAGGGCTTCCCGTGCCTGAAGAAGGCGGAAGGGAGCAGCAAGCCCCACTGCCTGGGCAAAACAAAAGGGCGGACCCACCCCAGTATAGACCAGAAGGTGGTGCAGCGGCTGCGCGAGTTCTACAGGCCCTTCAACATGAAGTTCTACCAGATGACCGGGCATGACTTTGGCTGGGATTAAAGCTGAAAAAAAATAATAATTTAAAGAAATAAAAAGGGAAAAGATATATTTTTGTATAGAAGATTAGAGCGGGGAAATTAATATTTGTGCTAATGTGTGGTGGTTCCAATTAATATTTTCATCTTGATGGAAATGTCATAGTTTTATGTTCTACTTGTTTTACTGTTCAGGCATCCAGCTCCACAAGTTCAGAAGACTGTCTGTTGAGGTCTGGCAAATGAGTTCAATGTGATCATCCTTCCAGCTTTCCATCTGAAATCATCAGGGTTTTGTGAAGTTATTTGGAGCCACTGATCTGTCATTTTTGATGTCTGTGCCTAGATTTTATTTTTAATGACAAAAGAATGGTCAATCAAAATAATCAAGACTGGAAGGTATTTTTCAGTTCTACTTACTGTATGGTATGAGGTTTAGATTTAAATGTCTGCATTACTAAAATGGCCGAGAAGAACAGAATTTTCAGAGTTTGTAGAGCATATAATGATGTAAACTCAACAACACTTTGCTGTCTGGTTCAGATTTTTTGCTCACCTGAGCCCCACCTGATTTGAGAAGGACAACACAATGTTAACATATGGCTAGATTGTACCTAATACAATTAGGAATAGACAAAAAGAGTTTGGAAAAATTACTTTTTTGGACTACAGATCCCACCCACCTCTCTCACTATGGTTTAGCAAGGGGATTCTGGGAGCTGTAGTAGTCCAAAGTAACTCTTCCAAGCTCTTAATAAACAGTCTGTCTCTGGCTCCACCATAGCATTGCCATTTCCTAAGATCTGAAAGCAAGGATAAATGATATCTTTAGCAGACCACTAAAAAGACTTCTCATTTCCTAAGGTGTAACACTGCTTAGCTGTTTGTACTACTTAAGCTAAAGTACACCCTTGGGATTGTGTCATTAGGCATTTACCGAAGAGTAGTCTGAGGCCTTGTCCAAACACATGACTCCAAGCCATGATGTTTTCTCAAAGATCTAATATCCAAACTAATTAAGATAAAGTATCTTCGTTGTAGTTTGAAGGCACTTTCAAAGCTTTATTTCTCCATTCCCTAGCACACCCACCTGTTGTCTCCATAAAGCCTTATATTGGCTCATATTTCTCTACCCACAGCCCGTGACAGCTGGGCTAAGCTGAAGAGTCAACAGTAGGGACAGAGGAAAAGTAAGCCCTTTCCCCTGTCATCTCCCCCACTTACACTCAAGAGGTCATGAGGTCACCACACAATCCTCCTAACCTCCTGTCTTAACTCAGACTGTCCCATCTCTAGCCTTAAACCCTGTTCTGGCAGGGTCTTCTGCCATAAAGCATCTGGGTAAACATGTTATAATCACCCGAACAATGGGGAGAAAGTAGCTAGTAGTTCACTTGAGAATGAAGCATATCACAAAGCTGGCTTGCTGCAGCCCATAATAACTCTTCTGTGAGAGGTCTTTCCAAGAATGTAATCCAATCCAAATACGATATAATCACCAATTCAAGAGATTTTTATATGATGTCCCACTGGATACAACAGAACAGGAACAGTAGCTGTGCTTCTTGGAATAAAACTAGATATTAAAGATAATACGTGTTCCCTATGATCAACCTGTTTTCTCTCCGATAACAGGCTCATGAGTTAAGCCTGTACTGTATTTGTCTTCCAATAATCATTTACAAAATAGAGCATGCTAAATGCCACATATGTGGGTGAGGAAAATCACATCCTATGACACCCAGCTGTCTTTCACCACTTAAGAGGGCACCTCTGGAAGAACAAGGTAGTTTGAACTTCAGTCCACGCAAATGACTTGTACCTTGATGTGGGTGAGGAAAATCACATCCTATGACACACAGCTGTCTTTCACCACTTAAGAGAGCACCTCTGGAAGAACAAGGTAAACATAATGTATAGTTTGAACTTCAGGCCACGCAAATGACTTGTACCTTGACATGAATGCCATGTTGCCACAGAGATCATAATAGCCCCTAGATTGCACATCCCTCTTTAAATATGGCTTGTCTCTCTCCTCCCTCTGAACTTGATAGGGGGGTTGCACTGGCAGGTAAATAGGAGGACCACATAACAGTAGAACAGCTAGAACAAGCACAGGTCCATTTAGTATTTGCTGTCCTGTCTCCAGCTTTACAACTGGAGTGCATTAGGCGTTGTGCTTTGGTGCTCCTGCCAAATTCACATGCATAGTGCTAAACACCAAAGAACAAATGATAATGGTGGATACATTCTTTTTCTTATTTTTTGTCTCATTTGCAGCAATGGGTGAGGATCTTATGTTAATGGTAAAAGGGTTCCCGGGAAATAGCTATAAAATGTCATCCCACCCCCTAGTTTGTAATCTATCGTTCTATGACCACAATGCCAGAAAGAGATAAGCACTATGGAAGGGACCAATTAAGAGCTGGATCCAGGAGGATACAGTATCCTTTCCCATGCATTCCTTTTAACATTGAAAGAAGACAACTGGGACAACGAACAAGGAAAGCCCACAGCTAACGGCCCCTTCAGGTCTAACTTGGCCATTGGTCATCCTGTTGGAATTCATTTTCTGGCAGTCAAAATTCCACGAAAAGTATTAAACTAGCATGGAGCAGGTATATTAAGAAAACTATAAGATGCAGAGCAAAACAATCTGCTTTTCTAAGGAAAGAAAAAGATTCCTTGTATATGATTCCAAGTCTACATAAGAATGAATTGCTATGCTTTTCCAGAGCCAAAGACAGAGCAGTTTTGTTTTGCCCCAATAAGGGGCTGGCGAAGTTGCTTTCCTTTATGTGATTCTCTTGATTCAGGTTTTTTTTTGTTAGGTTTTCTATATCATAATCTGAACTCTTGATTCAGACAGACACTTTCAAGCAGTGACCTATGTAGATGACATGGCCCTGAAGCATTCTGAAATGGTAGGTGGTCATTGTGTTTTGCAAAGTTGTGATGTACTCGTGGTGAAGCAGCTGAAGGATCAGAGAGAACTGTCTATAGAAAACAAGACCCTCTGTGTGCATGTGTGAAAGGTACTCACCTTGGCCTAAAACAGCAGAAACATTCATACAGTTCTATGCAATTTAAAGCAAAGCCCTAGCTCACAGCTTGTAGATCTGCTTTTCCTGTAATGCCAGGCTGAAGCAGAGCCTTGGTCGCTAGTGGATTTAGTATGATCTCTGTAGATTGGGGTTTCATAATTAGTAATGATGATTTTTTTTTAGTATAAACTGTTAAACCTCCATGCTAAAAAACTAAAGGATGCAGTTTTTTCAGCATTACTCCAAAGAGTTATTTCCTCCCTTGATGAAATATACAACAAACTCACAAAGTTTAAATAAAATTAAAAGTCAAGAGTGTCAAGATGAATGGTTCTCTTGCCCTTTAGTACAATTAGAATAGTAAATGCAAATGAATACAACATCCATTTTTATTTTGTGATTTCTGTGACTTCTATTCAAAAGCATACCTTCTGAAGTTTATTTATTTCAAATAGTTATTACTTTATCTCTCTCGTATAAAGTACACTATATAAGGCCTACCAAGAGAGATCACCATGCCTTTTTTTTATTAACAGGGGAAAATGCTTCTTTCCTTTCTACATACTATTTTATGTTATTTCTTTGCATTGTAATCCTCTCATTTCCTCACTTTGATGCTGTTTCTGTAAGAGTTGATATGCTTTTAATTTAATTTAAGGCTGAAAAAGCACATATTTTAATAAAGTTTACGGGTACTGAGAGGCTGTGCTCTCGTTTTGGCTTGGACATGCAGAGATAGGAGGGAACACAGTGCGAATTAGGGCTATTGCGGAAAAAACAAGGAGTAGGCCATGTGGTCCCTAAGAATGCATAAATGCAAGGGAGGACCAATAAAAAATGAAACAAATCACATGCTTTCGTGAATGAAATCCACTTCCTCAGACTCTAAACAGCACCTTCATGGCTATCCTTCAGGGCTATTTCATACACTTGTTTATTTTAAGTTCATGTTCTGATGCCCAGTTTTTATATGAGCAATAGATACGGACAGTTTGTTTAAAAGGAGAGAAGCTATGCTTAGAACTCAGAAGATAGAAGCAAAGAAGCTTTTTAATACGGACTCAGACTTGGGACTTGGTATCAAAGGAAATCAAGCCTGAGTGCTCACTGGAAAAACAGATCCTGAAGCCGAGGCTCCAATACTTTGGCCATCTCATGAGAAGAGAAGATTGCCTGGAAAAGACCCTGATGTTGGGAAAGTGTGAGGGCAAGAGGAGAAGGGGATGACAGAGGACGAGATGGTTGGACAGTGTCATCGAAGCGACCAACATGAATTTGATCCAACTCCAGGAGGCATTGGAAGCCAGGAGGGCCTGGCGTGCTCTGGTCCGTGGGGTCACGAAGAGTCGGACATGACTTAACGACTAAACAGCAACAATCAAAGACTCGGACTTGAGACTCAGACCCAAAGACTTGCCAACATGCCTGACAGATTCTGCTAATCACCTTGGCTCTTTCCAACCACTGTCTGTCTCTTTAAAAGCCTCTGCTCCAGGCCAGCCTGCTTTAACCATAAGGCAGAAATGAGGTGTTACAGACCTGAGCTAAAGCACTGGGTTGTACCATTTCAGAGTATAGGTAGGGATCTTATGAAAGTGAGCATGGAACAGTGATTAGACTGGCTGAGTAATGGCAAGGACACTTGGGTTCAGTTTCCCCCAAGTCTCAACAGAGACAGCTCATGGGTCAAACATGAAAGTGCATGCCCCCACAATTTTGAGGTCAAATATCCCACCTCAGCTTGAGCCAGAACCTGCTACTAGCCCCTCTGCTTTCTGGATGATATTTGGGCCACTCAAAATCTTTCAACCTAACCCATTTAACAGGTCTTTTATGGGGAATAGTGGGTTGGAGGAGAGTCATGGATGTTAACTGGAACTTAACAGGGAAATAATACTACCCCAATAATACTATTGGCCTCAGTACAAATGCCAGGCCCAACTAGAGTAGACTCACTGGTTGAAATCCTGTTCCTTAGTGCACTGGTTCTTAACCTTTGTTACTCGGATGTTTTTGAACTGCAACTCCCAGAAACCCCAGCCAGCACGGTTGGTGGTGAAGGTTTCTGGGAGTTGCAGTCCAAAACTCCTGAGTAACCCAAGGTTAAGAACCAGTGCCTTAGTGTAATAAATTGCATTAGAGTAAGGCCCACTGAATTAGTGGAAATTCCATAAGTTCCAATGATTCAGTGAGCTAACTCTAGTGTGACTTACTATACTAAGCTACGGGATTTGAGACATTGAATCAACTGCTGAATGGTCAGTCAATACTTACATAAACATCAGTGATTCAATGGGTTTACTCAAGATGAAACTAACAAATGGAATCAGGCTGTGGTTTGTTTGTGTCCCAGGAGATGTGAGACAGGAATGTTCCACAAGTAGAACCAAACACATCAGAGAATAAGCTGGTCGAGGCTTTGTTTCCTGGTGTTATGAGCGTTTAATGCAGGTACCAAGGCATGCACCTCTGTAGCCAAATTAAACCACTGATAAATAAATCACCAAAAATATTCTGCCACCGCATTCTACTACAGACTTTCTCAGGCAGAGAAGAAAATGGCCAACACAGGTCAGAAAGATGTGGCTCTCTAGCCCAGAGATTGTGAACTTTTGTCATAACGAATGCTTATCTATTCATCAGAGAGTGAAGTGGAACAGGGAGATATCCACAGATTCAGTGGAACTCAGGAAGAGGTCAAGGCAAGCTGGGCCACTGGTTCTCAAAGCTCCCTGTCGTGTACTTTGGCCAGCAGTGGTTTTTAGGAGCTCTAAAGAGCAGTCTTTCCCAGACCTACCTGGGACTGAACTTGTGACCTCCTGCATACAAAGGGAATTAGTTCACTACCACGGACCTACATTCCTTCTTGTTTTGAGAAAGCCCATGACTACACTTTGGACTTTGAACTTCTGGTGCACTTTGGCATCAGACTGGGCAATTTTCAGTGTGTGGTCAGGTAAAATGAGATTTCTATATATTTATTTTACAAGCACAAACAGATTAAATCCTATGAAAATACACTCCTGGACCTCAAAATATTTTACTCAATTACTTCTATTTAATAGAAATCTTGAAGCTTGAACAGAAATATGTCCTTTGCCTTGCATAAGCTTTTAATTCCTTCTCCCGATTAATTAGAGTTGTCCAGAGTTAATAACATGAACTCAGCATTCCTCCCAGGTACTATTCAGTCAGATTCTGACTGAAGGACTTTAGCTTATAATAAACACCTATGAAATCTACATGAAGGCTTGAGGACTTGTACACACAAAGAGAACCTGCAGGAAGGGTTTCCATAGTGAAGGGGTGCACATGAGATTTCACAGGGGGGACAGTGCCCTACAGTCTGTTTGGGGTCAGAAGTTGGCTTGCAAAGCAACAGAGTCATCTGGGAAAGACTGCTGTCTAGAATTCCTGAAAGTCACTGCTGGTCAAAGGAGACAACAGGGAGCTTGATTGAACATTGAGGTGAGTGTCAACCGAAACAAATTTGTTTCAGCTCCAATGTATTTTAAATTGATTTTAGTCATGTGGTTTTTGTTTCACTGTGCACATTCACTTTCAACATTATTACTCTAATACTGTATAAAGTGGGGACTTAAAACCGTTTCGGGAAACTGCACGTGAGATCTAAAATGGTTTCATTAACAGGCATGTTGGAAGACCAGATGGTTTCCATTGTCACTGACCTGGGTCTATTGCCAATGATTGCAACCTTCTCTTTCCTGGTGATTCTGTATGTTGTGCAGCATTTCTTTGGTTTTTAGGCATCCTCTGGAATGCATGCATTTCTCTCTTTTAAAAAAAATAAGTGACATAGCGACATAGTAACATTACTTTTGAAATCCACAACTATCCACAAAGGCAGTATTTAATATGACAGGAATAGGGGGGAAAAACCCTCTTCCTTTTGTCCTTCTCCTTCCATGCTTCTACCTTGGAACCAACTAAGAAGCCCTTCTTGAAGAACTGGCATTCCTTACATTTTCTAGACCAGCAACAAGAAGTCTAAAGAAGATACACAATTCCCAGTCCAGATGTTGACTACCCATGTTGCTTTCATTTCAGTAAAATGTGCACTTGGATGTGTATTCACATCCTTAACCCGATATGAAAGAGCCTTGGGGATGCATTGGAGTGCGCATTCCATTTGAGCGATGCCATTAAGCTACAGCTCATCTGCTCATGGATGCACATTTGTGAAGAAGGGTAGGGGAGAGGAGAAAACTGGACTTAGAGAATGTTCTCCCTCCATTGTACAATGTCACATCACCCTTGCAGTTTAGGTGAGAGAGATGCAAGCAGCAAATTACATCTATCTGAAGAATACTAGATGTTGAATGTTGAACTAGATAGATAGTTGGGGTATGTGTGTAGGAACAATATGGTGGCTGAAAACCAATAGTAAGTGGGAATTTGGAGAGTCATCTCATCCAGAAGTTCCCTTGATTCAATGGGCCTGCTGTAGTTGTGACTTACTACTGGATTTCAGCCATTATATGGTTCCTAGACCATTTAACAGGAAAATAAGACCCAATATTTGGCCCCAATGGGCAGGAGAGTAGAACAAGAAATTATTCCAGGCAGATTGCGGATAAACTAGATGGTCTATATTAGACCTTTAAATGAAACACGACATGACATGTAAAATCACAATAAGCTGTTACCTTTTTATTCAAGCCCCCCTGAATCTCCACCACTCCCAACTCATTAAAATTAAACCCTAAATGCTGTCCCAAATAGCAGCAAACTTTGTAATTTAGAGAAAATGTAAACAAAAGGGAGGTTTTTTAAAATCAACAACAACTTGTATGTACCTAGCGCACATCAGAAATCTAAAAAACTGGTTCCAGTGGATCCAGAGAGAAATCAGAGGAGAGCTCTCTCTAGACTCCAGATGAAGGACCCAGGAAAGATCTAAGGGAGAGGAGCTGAGAAAACCTATGTGTGTTTGGTTTTTAAGAGGATAGGAACAATGGAAAGAAGAAAGCAAGAAAAGTTCAGGGGATGGACATTTAGCTCTGAAAAGTGACCAAAAATGGTTCAAGGCTAGGAAAAAGGGATGCTAAGGAAAAGGAAAGAAGAGGAGGAGGAAAAAACTTCTCTTAAGTCAAAAAGACTCATTCTCTCAGGGTACAGAGGCTTTTTAATCCACCCACACCCCTTAAGTTTCCTACTTTGCAATTTGTCCCTGTTCCCTAGTAATTCTCTAAAAGGTGACACTGGATTGGTCTATGACATGTTGAGCGAGTGCAAAACTTGCCCAGAGAGCACCCTACTGTTTCCAGGGGTTGATGGAACCACAGGCCCTGTCTATGTGCTCAGAACATCTTGGGTCTGTGAGGCAACAGCTTTCATAAGGCAGCAAAGTATGGTGTCTACTTTCCATACTGGTTCACTGTCCAAGGTCCAGACAAGCTTAGTGAGCACAATTCCTTTGTGTCCCATTTTCCAGGCAGCTAACATCTCCTCTTGTGAAGGCAAGAGGAGAAGGGAACGACAGAGGACAAGATGGTTGGACAGTGTCATCGAAGCCACCAACATGAATTTGACCCAACTCTGGGAGGCAGTGGAAAACAGGAGGGCCTGGGATGCTCTGGTCCATGGGGTCACGAAGAGTTGGACACAACTTAATGACTAAACGACAACGAACATTTCCTGCCCTCAGTGAAAACCAGTCCAGTATACACAAGCCACATTTTTGTTCTTTATCCTTATGAGCCCTCTGTTCCAAATATCCAAGTTCTTGCAAACAGGACCTGAGAAGGACATCATTGCCTGTAGTATTGTGACAGGGGCTCCCCACTCCACATCATTCCTCCCTGAAGCTCTGAGAACATCACAGCACTGTTATCTGAAGCATTCAGTGTGTGATTTCTTCTAGCAGACTCCTATGGATAAGCTGTGTTTTTCAACAGTTGCAGTGTATGTTTTACATGAGATGTGGCAGTCCTCCTGCCCTGCTTATTAAATAGGGTAAAGATGTGCAAGATCTCAAAACTGCCTCATGAAATATCTCAGTCTTCCAGTCCCTGAATTACCCATCTACCTTTTTATTTCCTTCCAATTTGCTATCATAAAGCCAATCTGTTTCCCTTGGCAGCTCATTCGTAGCCTAAAAATGCAGCGCTCTGGTGCCCGTGGCTTTTCATTCCAAAGACTGGCTCTTAAATAAGAAAGAAGATGGGAGCACATGAAAGATTCTTTCTGAGAAAAGATTATGGAAACTTCGTTTGATGAGGTTGCAGAAAAATAACTGGCAAATCTATCCAGGCCACAGAGTTTCTCTCCCAGTGCATTGAATACTTTGTGATGCTTTCAAAATTATCTGCTTGACACATGAGCAAGGACTTTGGGGCTCCAGAGACAAACAGGGAATACGCTCTGTGACACCAAGCAGTGAGGCAGCAGCTTTGTAAAAGATGTGCATGTGCCAAGGTATTGGTGCCAGACATGGGGACAAATAAATAATAATAATCACAATATTCATGAAATATTGCTGATTTGTGGGATATTCATCACTTAGTATCCCTCAGGTCCAGAGACTCTGAAGAATATAAAAGGACAAATATGTACTCAGTTTTGGTTGTTGTGGGTTTTCCGGACTTTTTAGCTGTGTTCTGAAGGTTGTTCTTCCTAGCATTTCGCCAGTCTCTGTGGCCGGCATCTTCAGAGGACAGCACTCTGTGCACCAAACTACACCAGAGCACAGAGTGCTGTCTTCTGAAGATGCCGGCCACAGAGACTGGCAAAACGTTAGGTAGAACAACCTTCAGAACACAGCCAAAAAGCCCGGAAAACTCACAACAACCATTAGATCCCGGCCGTGAAAGCCTTCGCGAATACATTTACTCATTTTTATTCACCCCATCATACAGGCGGGCTGTGGGAAGCAAAACAGGATTTGCCTTTCTGCAGTCAGCCTGCTTGTCAATGTCCTGCCAATTAGCTGATGGCTGGCACATTGGCAAGCAGGCTGGCTGTCGGAAGGCAAACCCTGGGTTCTGTTCTCGTTGGGACATTGGCAAGCAGGCTGGCTACAGGAATGGACACTGGTTCCGTTTCAGCAGCCAGCCCATGTCCCAACAATCAGCTGTTCAGCAGGACATTGTGTTTTACAAAACAAATCGATGAATATTCATTTATTCATTGCTAAAATTTGCTGCTTCATCAATTCGTCAACTTTGACAAATGCGAAATCATGATGAATCACATTTTTTTTCCCAATTAGTCCCCATTTCTACTTGGCATTTGCACTGCATTAAAGGTAACACATTGCTGCTTTGGAAGAGGAATGTTGCACGACTGAAGATGAAAAAAGTTTTCTCTCTCTTTCCCCCACCTTCCACATTCCCTCCTTCTCCCTTTCTTTCTTCATCACCCTGGTCTCACCCCCCCTGTTTTCCTTCTCTCTCTTTTCTACTATTTCTTATTCTATCTTCCCCCATTCTATCTCTATTTCCTGTTTCTTCTCTCTTCCCCCCCCTTCCCCTTTTCTCCTTAGGCCATTCCTCTCTCAATGTACCATTCCAGAAAAGTTCACTTTCCATGAAATGGTGATATATATTTTCCTGACCTGAAGGGAACAATTTCTTGGGTGCTTCCAAATAGAGAGGGCTCAGTGCTACTACTTATGCAGTTATTCCATCTCTGTTTAATAGATCCCCCCCTCCATTTTTTGTAGAAATTGTTTAAATAATGGTCAGAAAACATGGGATGATGAGAAATGGCAGATATCATTGAGAAATCACCACTTCCCAGTTACCCTGGGAGGTGCTGAGTGCTCCAGAACTGGAAGCCTTCAAGAGAAAAATGAGATAGCCATATATCAGATATACAGTACTTTTATTTGGATTCCTGCATTGAGCAAGATGGTGGGAAACAATGGCCTTAGATACCCCTTCCAACTTCATTAGTCTATGATTCTTTGGCTGTTGAGATTCCCCCTAACGAAATGTCCTGTAGTAGAATGACAACCAGGCCAAAGTAGATTTGACATACCTTACCCAACTGCTTATTTAATAATTTTTTCAAAATTTAGTAGCAGCCATGTGATAGGAAAGGCAGTCCAGGTAAGAACACTACAAAGATAAAAGGTTAAATTCAATACATACGTCTAGTTAGTTAGACTCAGTGAGTTAATAGGACTTCTATAAGTACTGATTTAATCAAAGTCCCAGAGATTCAATGAGTCTACTTAACAAACAAAACAAATTTGTCCAATGGCTAAAAACCTCTCATGTCCCTCTACTTTTCCTTCCAGAATTCTATCCAGGCTTGGATGCCCTACAACTTCTGTTTATTTCTTAGAATGAAGTGTCCACCCAGAACTGTCCTGTGAACAATGTCACACTCCGTATGGCTCCAAAGCGGTCCTCCCTGGAGGGCTTGGTAGCACATTGCAACGATGGCCCAAGACTCAGAAAAAGGAGGGAGCAAGTAGGCAAACCTATGAGCCCCACACACAC